GAGGGGGAAGGGAGAGAGGTATAGGCACACCTGGGAAGGGACCCAGAAGTTTAAAACAGGACATTGCAACACACTGCAACATCCTCCCTCAGGGTCCTTCAGAGGGTTGGAAAAGTCTTGTGAGTTTGTCTGGGTGGGATTCACACACCCTCGGGCCATGTTGAGTCCTTTAGTTTTTTTTCTCTATCTAGTTTTTACATCCCTGTGCAGCTTGGAGCCAAATCATGGGGCTGGGAAAAGTGCCAACTCCCCAAACCATGACTCTGGGAACCTAAGCCGGTGTTTAGAAACTTTGGGGTGAGGTTATGTCGTTGTGCTAAGCTGTGACCATCCCTGGCATTTTTAATATCAGACCCTTCCCCCTCGCTGCCATAAAAACTTATACAGTGTAATAAAATATTTTACAGGCATTTGTTCTACAGCAGAACATTTGGTATCTGTGTTAAAGTATCGATTGTGGTGGAGTTTTCTCAGCTTTTCCTGTGAAGGATTTCACTAAGGAGCCACTCTGCAAATTCACAGCACAATAGGAAAGATGCTGTAATTTTTGTTTTTTTTTCCCTGGCTTTCCTTTGAATGAGCTGCCCTAAATCTGACCATCCTGGCTCTTCTGTGATCAGGCTTTGGCGGAGTGGGACGGGCACCACAGGGCAGGATTTCATGGGCATTTTTTGGGAAAAGCTGCCAGTCTAAAGCAGTGCTCCTTGAGCCACATCCTGACATTCCAGTGGCACTTGGGAGAGCTGGTCCCACCCTGTGAATGCTGGCAGGGCCCCGGGGATTTCAGTTAGGGCAATACCTTTTTATTATGATTTTTTCCCTTGGAAGTGTGTGCAGAGGGGAGCTGGGTTTGTAATTACAGGGTATAAAGCCCTGAACTGGCCTTGGCCTAGGATGGATTTATTGTGCTGTACTTAAGGTTCTACATTTCATTTAAAAAACATTTTGAATTTTATAACTCAACCAGAGAAGGTCAACTTAAGCACTTTGTTTCTGGATGTAAAGATTTGACCCCCTACATGAAGTAAGGTCTGAAATGTCTTGTCCTGACTTCTTCCCAGCCTTGATTTTGGTTTTAATGCCCCCTGGCAAGGAGTGGCCTGGGACACATTGCTGCATTTGGGAATAAAATGTCAGACACTTTGGTGTAAAGCCCTTGTGCTTTGCAACTGCTGCTTGTCAGGGGAATGTGTGTTGTGTTTGGTGGAAATGACACAACCCAGGTCCCACTAAAGGGCTGGAGGGCCATGTAGGTGCAAGGGAGACTGAGGAAATAGAGGGAAACTTGGTTAAAAGTGCATTTTAAAGCCTGTTTCGGAGGAAAACTTGGTTAAAAGTACATTTTAAAGCCTGTTTTGGAATGTCTCTGCTGTACCCAGCCCTGCCACACTTGCCTGTCCTGGAAGGTGCTTACAGAAGGATCCAAGCTGCCTCATAAGCAGAAACAATGGGAAGTGGGGAAGCTGGGAAGCCAAGGTGTTGGTCCTTTCTGAGGGGTATTAAAGAGCCCAGCTTTGTTTAAGGACAGAAATGCAGCTTTGGGGAACTGTGTGTGGCAGGAGCATGGGTGGATGTGATGCAGGAAGGAGCTGGAAAGAGAAAATTTAGAATGGTGAGAAAACAGGAGGGTAGGAAGAGTTTGAAGGCAGGAGAGCATTCACAGGCTGGTGTTGCCAGATGGGGGGAAAGAATGGAGGCTTGGGAAGCTTTTTTCACCATTCTATGTTTAAAGCCAATATGTTTGTTTATATTTAATGCTGTAATTATTGCAGGACTACTTTTGCCTTTGGAAGCAACAGCATCACCCAGATTGCTGTGGCCTGACCTCACAGCCAGGAATGGAGGCTGGGGTGGGAAGCTCCTTCTCTGAGCTTGCCATCCCCTGTGTGTTCCTGCAGGATTAAGAGGCAGAAGGAGAATGAGCGGCGGGCAGAGGAGCAGAGGATGAGAGACGTGGCTGAGCAGAGAGAGCCCTCCCCAGGAGAGGGAACCTGGGCAGCCCTGGCCCAGCTGCAGCTGGAGGAGAGGAGAGTGAGGGACAGACAGCAGCGGGATAAGGAGCACGTGAGGTACAGGAAGTCTGCACTCCCTGAGCCAGGTGTCACTGCCAGAGGTAATGTTTGATCCCTTGCAGGTATCTTGAAGCTCTGAGAGCCCAGATGAAGGAGAAAGTCAAACTCTGTAACATTGACTTGCCCCCACTGTGTTCCTGTGGGTCTGATTTTTGGGATTCCCACCCGGATACCTGTGCCAATAACTGCGTCTTCTACAAAAATCACAAAGGTAGGAGCTCCTGCTTTCAGAGAGGAGACACCTGGGCCTGATTATACAGGGGGAAATCAAACCCCAGGATAGGTGTTTCCATGCTCCTGGGATGCTGTGCAGAGATGCTTCTCCAAATATTCTCTGGAGAGGGCAAGTCAGGGGCTGTGCTGCTTGACCCAGCCTCTGTCCCTTGGGGAGTGTAGTGGCATCCTGAGCAAGGCACCAGCCCCTACAGTGTGTTAAATGACACAGCTGTGACACAGCCACGTGTGGCTATGGACACAGCCATGAGGAAAATGCTGCAAAGCATCTCATTAGGGACACAAAGCCCTCTGCCTTAAATGCCTCTGCCAGGAGGATGCACAAAGGTCTGGAAATGGCCTTCCTTAGGTGATGGAGTGCTCTGACCTTGAGCACAGCTTGGGAAAATACCTGATTGGACAACTGGGAATTACCTGGGAGGGAAAATAGAGACATTTGGGTCCATAAAATAATCTTTGATTGATGTTCAGGAGTGTGCAGAGTGTACAGGCATGTTGATTTACCTTATACCCCAATCTCTCAGCTCTGGTGAAAGGCTAGAGCCAAGCCCAGTTTCAATGCAACTCCCGTGCCCTGATAGTGTTTGTGTCCCCGTTGTGCTCAGCCTACAGCCAGGTGCTGCACTCGGTGATCTCCTCCTGCGGCTCTGCAGCCACGCGCTCTCTGCAGGACCTGGCTGCTCTCTGTGCCCGCTCGGGGAGGCGCCTGTGACCCAGAGCAGGGAGCGGGGCTGTGCCTGTGCCTGGGCCGTGTCCTGCCTGCCCTCCACGCCAGCTGCCAGGACGGCGTCACCTTTGCTCTCCCAGGCTGTGCTGTGCCTCTCCCACTGTGCCCCAGGGGTGCAGCTGGCCGGGGCGATGGTCGATGGTCGAGGTGAAGGAAGCAATTGCTCTGTGGAGTTGGTTTATGGCAGGCACTTGCATTCCAGTAGCTGACTATTGACTGCACATCCTTATCGACTAATCGTTATTGTGGAATAAACTACTTTCAAGGATTGTTTGTCTCATTTGAAGTGTGAAAGGAGGGGAAATGAGGTGACAGGGTTCAATATCTCTGAGGGGAGGATTTCTGACCTTTCCCTGCTCCCTTCTTTCCCTTTTCCTAGGGCTTCTGCCAGCCCCTGCCACTTGGATCACCTTCCAGAGCCTTCTAGAGTTATTCTAGACAAGCGTTAATACACAGATCATTGTTCTATTTGTCTTTGCTTTTCTACATTTTAAATAAGTTTTCTGCTGACCTATCTCATAGCTGCTGCTTAGCTCTAATCACAGTTCTGCTGTCTCTGGAGCTTGCCTTTTGCAGCTTTCCCAAAACTCTCTAATTTTGTAGATTCCCACAGTTCCCTCTTTCTTTTCTGTGTGAGGATCTCTCTTCCAGAAACACCCGCACAGCTTTGTACCTGACCCATGCTCCCATAGGCTCTACTTTGCTTCTGAAAGGAAGGAGCATTTTTCTAGTAAAAAAATGTTCAGGCCTTTGCAGGAGTGACTGGAGCAAGATGGGTTTTCCCAGTGCAGCCCGTGCTGAGGGAACGTGGTGCTGGGCAGAGGTTACTCCCTGCCCTGTCATTAATATTTACTCCTTGCCGGCGCCCTCTCCAATATTAACCACGGCAGGAAGGATGGGTGGCCGAGCGTGCCGGATCATTTCTTGTCCGTGTTCCCATCCCATTGGGCACAAAGCAAACCCACCTCCGGCCCAGAGGTGGCACAGAGCCAGGGAGTGCTCCTCGGTTCCTCCTGGAGAATCATTCACTGAGGGATCTGTCCTGGCTAATGCTGTTTATTAACAGCTGCTTGCGTCAGCACTGCAGCCCTCATTCAGGGTGTTGGAGTGGGTTTGGAAAGGGCAGGATCTGCCCCGTGAGGGGGCAAGGAAGCAAAGGGCTTCTTGTAGCTGATTTCAAATCTAGGGCAGCTAAGGACACACAGCTCCTTGGAACTGCAGGGCCTGAGCAGTTCCCCGAGGAGCTTGTTCAGGCCCTGGGGACCCCTGTTCCTCCTCTCTGGAGTGATCCCCAAGGGGCTGTGGGCTGGTTCAGGGCTCAGTTAAAGGAATAAATACAGCTGTTGCTGCTCCTCATCCTCAGTCTGCCCCTAGTAAGATAAATGGGACACTTTGACAGGGAGTGGGAGGGGAGAAGGACTCCCGACATTGCTGGCAATAACCCCAAACCATGTCTGGGGTAGCTCAGTCACCCTCAGGGCAGTGAAGCCTGTTCGGGGGCTGCTGAGATGG